CTTACCATTCGCGCAGGTACGAGCTGCTCAGAATCAGGCACATTGCTCCGGAATTGAACGCGTATGTCGAGATGTCACTCACGTCTGTCGGCGGAGTGCCACACCCTGGCTGGGTTCCTCGGCGACTGTGTTACTTTGAGTTGGAAATTCGTCTTACCCTGCACTGCATATTGAAGGTGCTGAACGGGAGTCAGAGTTGAAGCATCATTAATGTAGCAATCGACAGCCTCCCGGTCTAGATTGTCATAGAAAATTTAGCGGCCTGTCGGCAGTTCAATTAGTTGACTTTTCGCAGTACTCTTCACCTGTGAAAATCCAGCCACTCCATCCTTGACTCATAAACCGAGCCTAGTGGCTTCACTTTGGCACGGCACTCCTGTCGGGTATATTTGGCGCAGACCACTCAGCGACTCCTTTAGATTTGGCTTGCAATTCCGCTTTGCTTTATTCCATAGCGGCATATCGAGCTCTGCTTTAGGTCACACTGATTGAAAGGATCCAAGCTGATGAATTCCACCAGCCGTTCCATTTACCCATGCTGCCCGAATCTGACCAACAACTTGCAACATGCGAGGTACGAGCAATCTATTGTGTAGTGTCTTTTTATAAGAGACTAGTACCAACAACTGACGTTGGGCTTTGCGACGTCGTAAACTTGAAGAGCGGTGCAGAGCTGTTTCCTAATCTCAGCTGACGAATACGACACCTCCGACCCGACTGAAGCTGCCTCGGGCAGAGATGTATGGAGCTGTCTCGGGTAGAGAACACAACCACTGTGGAAACCACTGTGGGCTCAGAGCACAATTGTGGCGGGAGAGCATGTTCCGCTGTGATCGAATCGAGCTCCTCGATCGCATATCATGCGTTGGCACAGTGCGCCCAGGCACACATCCTCATATCGGCGCCGCTAGTTGATTTGGGTCGTCAAGCATCTAACCTAGTGTTCTTCCGCGCCTTTACTCGTCGCTGCACCGTTCACACCCAAGCCCCTTCTGGACCATTCTACCGGGTTTTTGTACTACCATCGAGACCGGCATGCTGAACCTTCGGAAGGCAGTATCCGCTTTCATGTCATCTCGGATAATGTGCCATCCTCTTTCCTCCATGATCATGACCTGCTCTTACCTTCAGGACTAGCTTGGCAAATTATCTTCCCCCAAAGATACAGTTGGATCTGTGAATCAGCTTCTACACGAGAATCTGGTAACACCAGCACAATTCTCACAATGCCGCAACCTCGCCAGCGAACGTCGGATGGATCCTGAAGTTACTTTGTTTCGCCTCAGTCAAGAATTCCCTGTCAACTTCCCCTGCAGTGCGCTCTTTCTCAGCGTCGTCGCAAAAGCACAAGATGAACTGCGTTTCTCCCATCTGTTCTAATCCAGGTCCGTAGTAAAGTTTCATACTCAATGGACTTGTATGTTGTCATCCATATTCCTCCACAATTCTGCACCTCTTATATGCACTCCTCAGGCTCTTGCCACGCCCGTTTCGAGCCCTCGACCAGGCCCGAGTATAGCGGCCATCGGCTGGTCCATCTCCGCATCACAAAGATCGTTGCCCCGGTTTCTTGCATCATTGAAGGATACAATGGGCAGGTTGTAAAACCCGAGGAAGGCCAGTTGTTCACGATATGTCAAAGTGGTGTCACACCTTTACTTTGGGCGTACGACATGGATGAAAAGAGAACACCTTCCGCTGCTGAGTTACGCGCGTTGTGGACATTTCCAACATCCCCCAGCGCATATTTTGAGAACGTGAATTCTTAATTCACTTAGCGTTGGATCCGGCGCAATTCAATGATAATAACTAGAGTGGTGGGTAGCTCGTGCGTCTCTCGGCAGCTTCCCGATTACGATTGCGCTCTGTAAATTATGACTTCCAGCGCCCACTGCTTCGTCGTAATTTGCGTTCGTTCTCGATGCAACATACAATATGAAAAGGGATTCACCAGCGAGAGTGGCCACAGAGAGTTTGAACTGAAATTTAAACGTTGGTCGATAGAAGGCACAGGAGTTAAGACCTCACATGAATCCGCTTACTTTTGTTGCAATATCCGTAGAACATCCAGCATCGAAGGCAAATGCACACTAAATGCCACCAGGTCTTATTTACCCCATGTCTGCATCAGTCCAGTGCCCGTGCAACTGGCTCTTACTCTTTTCCAATTACTGCCCAAAGAATTGGATGAGAATGTTTTTGGTAGCGAACGAAAAAAGAAAAAGAATTGGTTTGTTGCACGCTCAGCCTGGAATCGAACCAGGACCTTGTGCTGTAATTCGCTATTTTCTAGATGAATGACGGTAGAGGCACATCCCATGCTACTGGGTCTTATTCACCCTACTTCTTTTATTGTATAACTAGGATGAAATCAGCCAACCAATTGGCCACAAAGGCAAAAAGGAGATTGCGACTTTTCTATGACCCGGCCTGGAGTCGAACCAGGTGCGTCTGCTGTAATTTCAATCATTTGCCAATGAAAGGTATATGCACACCAAATGCAACGGGTCTCATTTACTCTATCTGTACTCCAGTGCAAGTGGGTTGAAATTAGTCTATGATTTGTGCAAAAAGAAGTTTATTGCCATAGTTGAATGACCCAGTCTGGAATCCAATCAGGTTTCCCTGGTTCAGCAACATATATCTATCTATATAAGAATCGAACACCTTTGACTCTCGATAAACCTGATTGGCTGACCGAGCACCGCATGTCGTTAATTGCTCCAACGCTCCACTGAAAACCGTCGAGATGTTCAAATCTCCACTCAACTGTTGGATTGTTATTTTGAACTGTGCAGATGTTGAAAACTTGGTATTGAGGTGCGATTACTTCCAAAAGACCATATGTGAACACATTTTGAATACTCTGGCAGTCCGATCAATTGTAAATAACCTCGGGCATAAGCTAATCACCTCATTCGTGAGATTAAGGCTGGGGAGTGCGGTGCCCGCACGAATGGAATAAAAGCTTTCAAAATAGCTGGGTTTTGACGGACTGCAGAACCGGCACAATTTCCAAGGACCACGCCGGTGCTAGGTCCAAAGCAGACCAAATAGAAGCCAGGATATGCCACCTGGCCACAAAAATTTGGATGCAAAAAAGATCACAATAGTGTTCATGAATGTCCAATGCCAACAATCAGAGTCACCGGGAATATGGATGTATTTTTATATTAAAATTTTCTCGACTAAATCTGTGAATCCCCAGGGATTGTCCTATGGGCAGCAAAATAATCACCTGGCAGTCCAGACGCAGACCAGGTATGAAGAGCCAATAGTAAATACTGTAATGTACCGATCCATTGAATAATCCGTGTTCTGTGCTCACCTATGAATTGAAAGGGCCTCAGAATAGTTGTCACAGGTCACTAGGCCACGACGAGTCAACCGGAGGTTGACGAGTGGCAGTTTCAAACCTCAAGAAGGAGAAGTGAAAATGTTAGATTTTATTATTCCCACCGTAGCGAAGCACGGGTAACTGCTAGTACTGTTGAAAGCAGTTGCACCCCGTGCAACCGAATCTTGTTTCTCCAACCGCTGTTACAGGAGATGAAGGAGAGGCACGCGAAAAGCGGCAGTGGTCCGAAAGAAAGAGAGAGCGGAAATGTAGAAAATAGAGTAGAGAGAAGCAGGATATAGAACAGAAACAGAAACATGAAGAAAAAAACCACGCACGGATTAACCGTCACCCCATCCGCCCAATGATTATGGCTCGGCGCCAGCCCGGACTCGAGCGGGGCTGGAACGAGCCGCAGTAGGGATACTGCGACACATAGCGCGCCTCGTTGTTGATGACGGCCTTGACGAGCGTGGCAAGTGAGGGTTGATGGTTGGCGGTGTCGCGCAGCCATTGGGCTATCATGTCCTAGTGTCCGAGTTAGTAAAATTAAGATAAGATAAAAGACGAGTTATAGCATGCGCAGGGAGGGAAGGTGTGGTACGAGGAAGGAATATACGAGGAAGGAAGGAAGAAGGAACGGAAACGTACCCCAGTGATAATAAACGCCAAATTCTGCGTTGCGTTAAAGTACTTGACCGTCGTGTCGAGCGTATTGGGGAGCGTGTTCTCGAACAGACGCGCGATATCGGGGTCTTTGAGGCACGCTTTCATGTCTGTGATGACTTTCTCGACGGCAGTGCTGTTGAATGTGCGGCATGCTAGATACACTGGGCCGAATGAGCGACGGCGAAGCGAAGCATTTGATGCGTATAAGAACAGGACGCAGACGCACCGGGACTGGGACGCACGTACAGCAGCGCAAGCGGGCCACTCGACGGGTTGCCTTGCGCTTTCTAGTATAGATCCACACTCAGCATCCTCCTCCGACGCGCGTACGAATGAATGAACGAAGCGCAGCGCACCTGCGAGGACCCCGTATAGTCGGGACACTGGGCGCGCGCGCGCCCGCTGAGCACGATGGTGAGGAACACGGCGGAGAGGGCGAGTTTCATCTTCAAGTTGCGGAGGTGTGGGGGTAGAACGCCGACGCACGGTTTTCCGCTTCTGCTTCTGTTTTATACCTAGTCACTGGTCAGATCTGACGCAGACGGGGCTGGCGCGCGGAGCACATGGTGAGCCGCAGACGAATGGTGGCCCGTGGGGAGGTGACGCGGGCGATGTCGTGTAAGGGCACGCCAACGCGAGATCAGACGTGTGATCTTCCATCAGCCAATCAGAGAGGGGGTAGATAAGATGGATAATGGTAGATAAGGAGGATAGGGGCGGTTGAGTGGCTGATATGGTGGGTGATTGCGTCGCGGAGCAACTGTGGTGCACTTGAGGGATATTGACTGTGTCAGTCTCGATCCGGGCCTGGGAATTCACAATGTCGTGATGCAGACCCGAGATTGACGCATGGAATTCTCTTTTGGGTTGCTTTTGGGTCATTGTCTCAGTGGGGTGTGCGTCAACTGAACGGTTCCAACTCGACCAGAACAACTCATAGATTATACAATCCACGCTGAGAAAAAAAGAAAGGAAAAATCCTGGGGGAGCCGAATGACCCGGCCTGGATTCGAACCAGGTCCTTCTGATTAATTCCGAGTGATCACCAGCTAATGAAAGTAGATGCACACCATGTGCAATCGGGTCTTCTGTATCCTACTTCCATTCCAGTATAGCAGGGGTAAAATTGGAGACGGAGTAGGGTGAAAAAGAACACATCTGATCTACGGTATAACCCAGCCTGGAGTCGAACCAGGTCCTTCTGCCAGATTGTGCCACACTGCACCATTGATCGAAAGCAGATTCACACTCCGTGCTACCAGGTCTCATTCCCTCGAGTTTGTATCCTCTACGTACGTTACACTTCCGAGGCAAGGTGGAAAAAAAGGATTTCAATTTCTCGCCATGACCCAGTTTGGAGTCGAACAAGTTGTCTGCTGTAATTTTTTTATTCGAGGTTGACAATGTGGGCAGATGCACACCAAGTGCTACCGGGTCTTGTTTCCCTTACTTCTGTTCCAGTATAGGTGAGTGAAAAAAAAACCGAGTGACCGGCATGGAGAAAAAAGATGGAGCACACAGATGGTGCCTGGAATCGAACCAGGTCCATCTGCTTTGATTCTGATCGAAAGCACCGATTAATGAGGGCAGATGCACACCAAGTGCAATTGGGTCTTATTCCCTCATTTCTGCTCCAGTATATCAGGGATAAAATCAGCCGATTACTTGTGCAAAAAGTACCAAAAAATATCCACCCATCCATGACCCAGCCTGGAATCGAACCAGTTGTCTGTTGTAATGCAACATTGTTCCACATTATGAAAGGCAGATGCACCCCGTGCAACCGGGTCTTCTTACCTCCAGTTTTCATCCTTTACATACATTATACATCCGAGGCAAGGTGGAAAAAAAACGATTTCTATTTCTCGCCATGACCCAGCCTGGAGTCGAACCAGGTTGTTCTGCAGTAATATAGTTTCAACCTTGGCTAGTGAGGGCAGATGCACACCAAGTGCCACCAAGTTTTATTTCGCTTACTTCTTATCCAGTATAACCAGGGTTAAAATGGGCTGATGACTTGTGCCGAAAGATAAAAGAATACTTGCACCACATGACCCAGCCTGGAGTCGAACCAGGTCCTTCTACGTTTATTCTGCGAAGAACTACAGCTAATGAGAGCGGATGCACAACCCGTGCAACCGGGCCTTATTCCCTCAGTTCTGTTCCAGTATAAGTTGGTTTAAATTTCACCGGCAACCTATGCAAAAAATAATATGGACACCGCCCATGACCCAGCCTGGAGTCGAACCAGGTCCTTCTGCTTTAACTTCTGCCCAAGTGAATGAAGACAGATGCACTCCAAGCGCTACAGGGTCGCATTCCCCTCCTTCTTTTATGGGATAACCGGCATGGAAATGGAATCAGCAGCAAGCTATGCAAAAAGCAACTCATTGCGACACCCTTTATGACCCAGCCTGGAGTCGAACCAGGTTCTTCTGTTCAACGAGCATGAAATATTTAAATGCAATACCGGAAACAGATGTACACCCCGCGGAACCGGATCTCATTTCCCTTGTTTTCATCCTCTCCAATATAGGTACGTTACTGGGGGTTGCGGGGGGAAAAAGTTGCATCAGCGATTAAGACCCAGCCTGGAATCGAACCAGGTTCATCCGTCGTACCTTTGATTTGGGATTAATAATGTGGGCAGATGCACACCAATTGCCACTGGGTCTTATTTCCCCACTTCTGCTCCATTGTAAATTGGTGAAAAAAAAATCCAGGCAACCGGCGTGAAGGCAAATGATTGAACTCACTTGGAGTCGAGCCAGTCGTCTGCTGTAATGTTTTTGGAGGATCGCATACTGGACGCAGATGCACCCCATACCACTGGATCTCATTCCCTCCGTATTTTATCCTCAGGCAACGTGGAAATAAAACGGTTAGCACTCCGCCACGACCCAGCCTGGATAAGCGGCCTGAGGTACAACACTCATTTTAGCGCCCATGATTCCCACCTATTCTTGGACAAATCTTGGCTGCAGTTCTACAGGCCTGTCCAACAGATTGGCTGATATCGTCGCAACCAAGATCTCATCGCCCGCATCTCGGGTTTCGCTTCGCGCCTCAACTCAGCCCGTTCAACCCTGTTGTGGATGCCGTCGGAATGGGCCAGAAGATTGGCGCCAGCTGTTTACCTATACCCATAATGGTACGAGCCAAAATGGAAAGCTGAAAGGTGTTCTAATCGGAAGTGTTTGAAAAAAAAGAACTCTTAGCCGGAAGGAAGCAACTGATATTTCGAACACCGCATGGAATCATACAACAAACGGACCGAATCCACCGAGGCGTGGTGTTCGTTCCTGGGATTAATGTGACATGCTTGGTCCCAGGCCCAGTCGGTCTATCTGGCTCTAAAATCGAAAATCAGTCATTGCGAGCTTTTCATTTCGCCGGAAATGACCTCAGATTGCCGAGTCTTTCTCTGCATTGCTGGGTCGCCTTCAATCGGCCACCCGATCGATCTACCATCACTCATGGAATGGCGGGGTTGGCATAGTTTGGCGCTGGTGAAAACTGGACAAGATGATTACCACTCCATGTGGAATTGCTGCGAACCTTCTGTTTTGGCGAGCTTCACCCACTAAACACTTGTTCGCATGAGTTCCCCGTAGATATCGCCTTCAGACCTCCGATGGAATGCGTTTCGAACCTTAAATTCTATTTTCGATTCTATTAGATAGGAAGTTGGCTAACATCATGGGCGCCCAGCTGTTGGACCGTGGACAGCGGCAGCACCCGCCAGTTCCTTGGACCATCCACGTCTGTGCCAAATTATCAATGAATGATGAATGGAACCGCGAAGAGATAGATCTTGCGCCTTTAATGGCGGTAGTTGCTCCGCCGCATCCAAGAAAAGGTCGATCCTCCATGAATCCCGTCGAGAGGACACCTGCTGTGCCTCGTGTGAAGGATGAGTTGCCTGGATTAGGCGCTGGGAATCCGCACTGGTCTACGCCTTGGGGGTCAGGAGCCGCGGTCTATGTACGCAATCATGCGAAAGGAATGCGGACTATGTTGTATGTGAGTCAAGTGGCCAATGAACGACTAGTAGGAGCGGAGGGACAATACTGATACAATTTTAGCGCCCTTGATTTCCCACCATTCTTGGCCGAAAAACCACCGCAGTGATTTGGGCCATTCGAACACGCAATGCAGACCAGCCGATGTCATCGCAAACCCGATCTCACCGTCCACATCCTGACGTGTGCGCTCCCGCCGCACCAGTAGTGGCATTCGGTTCGCAACTCCAACTTCTTAACAGGTTCTCGAAACCATCGGAACGGCCGCGGAAACCTGCTTCAGCTGCCTTCATCTAATACGAAATGTACAACCCAAAATGGAAAGTTGAAAGTTGCCGGCGTGCCGAATTCCCGCTCTGCAATTTTTATGGTTTCGAGGCCAATAATACGTGGTGTAGGTACTGCGATAGTAACAAGAAAACCGTTTTTCTGCAACACTGAGATTTTTTTTTGGAACACTGAGACATAATAGACGATGGAACAAGGACATCGATATAGCCAAGGAACTTGTATCTATCATTTGGATGATTCCTGCGCTGGAAGAGGCTAGAGTCAGTGCTCGGATGAAACTCACAAACTGATGAAACCCACCTGGTCAAGCGCACTGAGTGGATGTCATTGGCAACACATACACAGGGGGCATGACCCACCGCTTAAAATCTATAAGCCGCAGCCGCTTATAAGCGGTGGGTAACTCGCAGGCTGCTCGCTTATTGATGGCTCGGAGAATTTGCCTCATGTTTCCCTCATGCACATTTGTAATACAAATTGATGTAGAGTGGGTTCAAACCTGGGTAGTGGCATTCCTTTTAAAATATCACACTTTATTTAGTGACAGACTAAAAAATACAAAAAAAAAATCTTGACTACACACCCAAAAAACTACTGAACTCTATAGACATATTTCTGTCTTCATTGTTCAGTTTCTTTCGGGTATGTTAGGGCGTTTCAGACATCCCGATCTGAGGCCCAACTTGGGTCTCAACTTCGGTCCGAACTTTGCTCGAAGTTGGAACTTGAAATAGTTCGGGAACGAAGTTGGATGTCAAGTCGGGCACCGGACCACAACTTGACATCCAACTTCGTCCCCAACTTCGAGTCCCAACTTCACCGAACCTATTTGGAGCGGCCGTTCTGCATCCCGGGACAAAAACATGTCAAGTTGAGTCTCGAGTTGCGGACGAAGTTGGGACCCAAGTTGGGATGAAAAAGGAGATGTCTGAAACACCCTGTTGTTACGTGTCTTGAATTTTGCTCCAAAAAACATGGACAGAAAAGCATAAGTGTGACCCACCTGATGGCATATGCCATCCCCACTGAATTTTTTCTCTGGGGAAAGAACCAAGTGCCCTGCCTAACGAGTTGCCCTACAACAAGTTGCTAGGAAAGCACACAAGGTTGTGAAAGTTGCAAAAATATAAAGCCAATGTAGAGAATATGTATACAGAGAGTTCAGTAATTTTTTGGATGTGTAGTCAAGATTCCTTTTGTATTTTTTAGTCTGTCACTAAATAAAGTGTGATGTTTTAAAAGGAATGCCACTACCCAGGTTTGAACCTACTCGACATCAATTGGTATTACAAATATGCATGAAGGAACATGAGGCAAATTCTCTGAGCCATCAATAAGCGAGCAGCCTGCGAGTTACCCACCGCTTATAAGCGACTGCGGCTTATAGATTTTAAGCGGTGGGTCATGCCCCCTGTGATATCCGGCGATCTCGATATCAGTGTATCCATTGGTAATAAATTCCAGTCTCTCCGATTCCGATGTGGTATAGAAATTATCCTTTTTGACCTCATGGTAAAGGCGATAGAAGGGGACGCTTGCGCAGATTTGGGTTGGATAAATGTAAGTGACCGGATTATTAGGAGGGACAACGTAGCCATTCTGCAAGGCGCTGGCTCGCTCCGTGTCCGAAATCGTGTAGAAGTTGTCTGATGCAGCGGTGTTGACGAGGCGATAAAAGGGGACTGTCGACTCCTCCTGCGTGCCAAAAACGAGGGCAGCGACACCTTCTAAAGCATACGCGGGGACCGTCGCCTCGAAACCATTGACGACAGTCACGACGCTGGTATATAAATGGTCGACACCGGTCGGATTATAAGATCTGTAGAAAGGCAGGGCATCGGTGGGACCTCCACAGGTTTGGGAGGAGCGTATCTGAGCGCGGGGAGTAAATATCGGTTCACGGTTTGAAACATGCTTGACCTACATCAGCCAGGCCAGGCACTCCCGCCTCTACTATTCGTCCATTGGCCATTTTATCCACATACCAGACAGCTCACACTCGCATTCATTTTGCATCATCACGTAGCTAGAAAATCCCTCTTGACCTTCAAGGTGTGGACCAGTGCGACTCTGTGGCGCCTAGTCCCGGCGTCTGCTCGAAGTTCGACGGAGAGGAAGAGGTGTCATTATCGACAGGACTCTCGGAGGGTTGACCTTGCTTGGATGCGGCGGAGTCACTATGTATGTCCATCCCCGTGAATGGCGCAATATCTAATCTCCCAAGTATCTGGCGGGCACTGCCGCTGTCCTTGCTCACATGGCGTATGCATTGAAGAACACCCCTTAACGGATGGCATAGATCCTCGACGTTTCAGACAAGAGAGATCCGTCATGTAATTACATCCCCGTTGCATCGCCGCCGAATGTTGAACCTTGAAGTTGCAAGAAAAGTAAGGATAACCCTCCTGATAGAGTTATGTGAGCATGAGAGGAAAAAGGAAGACAAACACTGTGTTCCAGCCCCCTGTAGGCACACACTGTGTCTACCGCCGTAGACAACATGTAGACAAACCTGTTTGCCTACATATGCCTACAACATGTAGACACTCTTGGTGTACGTGAGTTTGATGTGAGTCTACATTGATCTAGTATGCCCACGTTGGTCTACGGCAGTAGGCCAATGTAGACGAACATAGTGGAATGCAGACCTGTATGTGGTATATCAAATTTGGAGTTATTGCGAGTGCTTGGTGAGTGCCGAAGTGTTTAATCACTACACTGTTCCGGTTCCAAACCTGATGTAATGTGTTGATGTTGATTGCAGGTGGCTGTGTTATGATGCCTCCCACGCCTGATCTGCGTGTGTGAAAAGCTGCGCAAGGCTTGAGGAGTTATTAAACGGAAGGGAAATAGCAAAGAAATTATTTTAAAGGCCAAAATCGAGGTCAATTCGGAGTGGGGGGAGACCAAGGTGTGTCTAGACTATTTATCGAACCCGCTGAACGGATGAGTAACCGAAAGTGGGTGGAGGAGAATTTTTAAAGGAAGTAGAGGGGATAGAGAGACGAGCAGACGAAACGGGATGGATGAAAGCCAAGGGTACAACCTCCAACCTCGTCCAAGTTTGTCTATATGGTGGGATAGAGGCAGACCTAGAATCCTTGCTTCGTGCATGCACGGAAGCAAAATCCCTCGCTATCTGCCTCATGATGCACCTGAAGAGACTGGAAGATCTCTCTACGGGTCTGCTCGATGCCCTCCTTTGCGCAATTTTGCGCCCGTTGTGACAAGGACCGCGGCGCCACTATGAGAATTTGTTTTATCCAATAGCCAGCACATTCGGCCTCTAGGGGTTAATTAACGTAGGAGGATAGTGGGATGTAGGATTGGGACGTGTGCGTGGTCCGAGTGAGTGTGATGC